ACATATATGTACAACTATGTTTGTGTGTATGCATGTGCATGTGAGTTTCTGTGTGTGTGCATGCATGCGTGTGTGTTTACATGTTTACACACACGCATGCACATATACAGATAATTAAAACATAAAAATCCTCTGAATATAAAAAGAGCACTCATTTGAAAGAGCGCCCTCAGGGGAGTGTAGCAGTCATTGAGAAAATATGTCTGTTGCCAACCTAGGTGATTTTTTACATGCTTGCTGTAGATTCAAACTCAGCTCCTCATACTTACATGGCAAGCACTTGACCAACTATGCCCTCAGCCCTACACCATACAATTGCATTTTATAAGCTTCTTGGGTTTACTGTATTATATGATAGTTACAGATTCAGATGCTATTCATTTAAATACCAGTTGTATGGGTCCTTAATAATTTTGAAGAGTATTAAGCGGTCCTTAGATGCCTGATGCTCATGCTTTTAATTCCAGTATTTGGGTCACAGAGGTGGGTGGATTTCTAAGTTAAAGGCTAGCCTGGTCTATATAGTGAGTTCCATGATATCCAGGGCAACATACACATACACACACACACACACACACACACACACACACACACACACGCAAACCCAGTCTTGAAAAAGAAAACAAACAAAAAGGGTTCTTTGTCAAGCACCATCTAGGAAAGGCTAAGGCTAGCAAGTGGCTTTTTTGGAGGTTGCTCACTGTTTTACATAGCCTAAGAACTCCCAGAGCCAAGGTGTCAAGAGACTTCATCTGGAGATTGCTTCTTGCACTTGGTATGCCTTTCCTGACACACTTACATAGCCTAAGGATTCCTGGGCATTAGCCCTACCACACACACCTATTGAGTAGGTGTCCTACAGATCAACATAAAGATGAACTTTTATGGACTAATGCTGATAGATGAATTAATGATTTCATAGAACTCCTGATTTGATTCTAATAACCTTAGGAAGAAAGTTTAAGATAATGGTTTTAGTTATTCTCTAGAAAGATGTAATAAAATTAAAATCAACAATAGAGCGTGCCCACTCCTCATAATAGTAAATAAAGGCTATATAATGAGAAATTCAATGAGCTTTCATAATTACACTAAAAAGAGAAATAGACAGATTTCTATTCATGGTAAAGCATTCAGGTGCAAGGATGAAGCCAGGGGTGTGCACTATGATTAGGCAAGGCCATGTGAAACTGTTGCTTTAAACTTCAAAGAACAAATAGAAGGAGACTCTGCTTTGACCAACATCCTTCTGTAACCCCTATTTTTTGCAACATTTTATCTCTGAGGTAACTTTGTCTAAGAAAGTATAAAATTGTCAGAGAAAAGAAATAAGGTTGGTGGCTTGGAGGGCTCTCTCTGCCCCATCCATCCACCCATCCATCCATCCATCCATCCAAACGTATATGTCTGTTTGTCTATATGTATGTATACACATACATGTAGGTATATCTGTATGTATGTAGGTATGCATGAACACTTGTGAAGTAGAGGAAACAGGTGCTGACCAGAATGTGTATGTGTCTGAATATATGTGGGGGGGGGCATATTTTCCTATGCAAAGGATTTTAATTTTTTTCTTTGTAGCATTTCACTTCTGAGGCAATTCTTTTTTTATATATATAGACAACTTTTTGTCTAAAGCTATGAAAAGCTAAAAGCGGTAAATAAAAGGTGGCACAGCCATTTTCTGCTTCACCTGCTGTATTTGTGTCTGTGTGAGTGACATCTTTCCTTTTCTTTTTCTCTCTGCATCAAGAAGAGTTAAGGAGCTCCCTGGCCAGAAAGAGGCTTCTGGCTGACTTGCCAGAGAAAAGAGCAATACATATTTTGACTTCCATTGCCGCTCCCTGCCCCGCTGCTAAACAACATGTGTTAATCACCAGATATTAGACTTGTTTAAGCACAAGTAATAAAAAGCTAAGTTTTTAGCACAGAACAGTTACGACCGACCAGCATTAAAGAGTTAATAAAGAGTCAAGTTTTCAGTGCTTAACTACTGGCTTTGATTTAGCTGCCTGCAGCCTGGTCTCAGAGTCTTAGTTCATCATCCCTTTGAAGACTCAGCAGTCTTCATATTCTTCTTGAAAGTTCTTTTGCCTTGTTTCAAACTTAAGTTACTGTCTCTCAGGCACTGTCAAAGTACTTACTGTATGATGCATTTATTGTATATTATGTGATGTCTCTCAAGGGCTCTGTCTACATCTCCTTTGTCTTCCTTGTATCCAAGCTTGGCACAATAGGGCCCTAATGAACGTTTACTTAATGAGTGAAGACTACATGATAGCTTCTACTATCTTTCCATACCTAGACAGAAGGACTCAATTCCTGAGTCTTAAACAATTTGAGGCTCTTATTCTCAGGAGCAAAAATCAGTGCAACTGTTAGGCAGAGTCCAGGTTAAATAAATACAAATTATATGAAACAAGTCTTGGACCCAACACTATTTTAGATAGATAAAGGGAGCCCTAAAAGAAGATTCAAATAATTGATTGTTTTCTGTTTCTGTGATTAATAGCTGATGCTAATTTTTTGATTATTCAAAATTACAAACTTAAGTTTCATCAGGAAAGACTCTGGAATAAACAGCCAGAAGTGTTAAACACCTACTTCTCAGAATAAATGGTTATCACTAGGGTAGAGAAGAGGGGAGGAGAAATTACTTCTTTCTGTGATCATCTCGAGCACAGATAATCTGCCCACACCACATTATTATCCAATGGTTTAACAACAATCAGTACACCCTAGCCAAGTAATCATGGGAAGACAAGAGGGCGCTGGCAGGAAGAGAAGTGTATGGTATGTAGTCTCAGAGTGAGTTAAACTCACAGGAGAGTTGTTGGCCTAAAGGAAGACACTGATATTTGTGTTAAAATCCTCTTCTGTACCTTTTGATTATTTCTGGGAAAGTGTTATTAAAAACAAAATTTAACATCACTAAAATTTGTGTAAGTTCGCCCATCGTTGTGGACTTGAAAACACAGCTGAGCTAACCTGTTCTTTTATCTCAGTGTCTAGTTCTCAAGCTTTACTTTCACAACTGCAGAAGCTCATGGGTGCTGGTGATTGGGAAATTGCCTCAGACTATACCCCAGGGTGAATTAACTCATGGATTAAGACAGCAATAGGAAGAGAATGGAAATATTGACCCATTTGTCTACTATGACAGAGAGTGAGGAAGAAATGCTGATCTGTAGCATAAGGGACAGATCTGGTGAGATTTTGTGTCTCAGAATGCACACCTTTGGGGAGCAGTATGTATGATTTGTTCCTGCCATGCCTACTTATATCTAGCTGGCCCAGATCAGGGGAGCTGGGTGACTTAGCCTTATGACAGAGACTGCCTTATCATTTACCAGACCAGTTTCTTCGTTTCTGGCACTCACATAAAATATATTTTCTGGTCTCCTGGTAGTTATGTGTTATTGTATTGTTGAGTCCTAACCTTCTTATTGCTGTTAGTCTCTGATGCTTTTCTCTGCTCGGCTGAACAGAGGCCATCTGAGGTCCTAGGAATAAATGAACCTGGAAAGAACCTAGGCTTCAGAATGACAATGTGGGATGCTCACTGTCTACATGGGAATACACATTTGGATCCTATGTACCCAAACAACCACAGATAGCACTGTTGTGTCATGCTGATGGAAATTTATAATTTACCTTACAGGATGTGAGGGTGTTTGGGATTAGCCTCATGAGTGTGACCATGACACCTTGCATTTCCTCTACAATGGAAGCTGATAAAGGTGAGTCTTGAATTAAATATGTACCAGCTGTACTGAGCAGTGCTATTTGGTGAAGAACTAGCAAATTGCCCACAATACAAATGGAGCAGGGCTTGCAGACTGATCAGGAGAAAGGAGGACTGAGATAAGTTTATGGAATTTGTCATTAGAAAGTCACTGATGGTTTGTAAGAACCCAGTGTAGGGTAATCATTCAGATTGCCGATGTAGGTATGCAGGAATCATGAGTTACCAGAGGCAGAAGGGTAATCTTGGGTGTGAAAGGAAGAAATGGAAACATGAGAAGCATGCTTCTTCAAACCCAGCAAGAGCTGTTCATAGTCTGAGGTTGACAAAAGGAAATGGAGTTGGGGGTGGTGTAGAGAAACATTAAGCAAAAAGGGCTCCATGTTGAGACAACTTAAAGTTTTACTATTAGTAGTCTGTGCCAGCCAAGACTGCATGCCAAACTCCCCAGAGTATCCATTAAATAATAGTGAAAAGAATATATGTGTGACAAAGAAGAAAATGTGGTAGTGTCAAGTATATCAGATATTCAAAGTAAGAAACATATAAAGTAGATGAGTTGAATAAAAATTAGTAAGACAATATATGATTATGTTATATGAAATACATATATACATATATATGTATATATATCCATTGAATATAAATGATTTACAGTTAGTATAGATTTTGGATAGTATAGTATAGACTTGAAAAAGAATAAAATCAAAACCATTAATCTGTATCTGACTGTTGATTGAAGATGGTTCATTGCATAAGGTACTTTGCCATAAAGTGTGAGTACCAGATTTTGAATGGATGTGAAAGCTTGCCTCTAATCCAATGGAAGGTTCAGGAAGCAGAGACAGGATCCTCAGGGTAAGATGCCTAGATAGACAATAAGAGGGCAAGCTCCTAGGTCCACAAGCAATCATGCCTCAGGAAATAATGGAGAGAAAAACAGATAAAGAAACCTCTCAACCAGCGCCTGCAAGTTATCATCTGTGTTCACAAACAGAATGTAACATGTGCATGCACACATAAATAAAGCATCAGATAAATAAATAAATAAATAAATATTATTTTTATTTTTTTTCCAGTCCATCTTTTAATTTTTTTTTTGAAAAATTCCTGACATTACAGAACTAAACTGAAATGTATTAATAATCCACTCTTACATTTCCATGACAAACAAAAATTCATGAGCCAAAAAAAAAAAAAACAAAAAAGGGGGAGAAGCTTATAAAACTAAATATGGATATCTCAGCGTAACTGCTGAACAGAGAAAGGAATTAAAACACTTTAATTAAAAAATCATGAGTGGATGATAAAGTGTGTAGAAACTGAAAATTTACAAACTATTTAAAACCTGGAATCGCTGACTGTTCAGAAACTACACAGATGGATCATGGGTGGTGGTGAACAGCAGAAAGGGATTATGGATGAATCTGCTCTGTTCTAGCTGCTCCCCATGCCACCTGTCTCCGAGGAAAGCCTGACATTGATTAGATACTGAGCCAGGCTAATGCTGGCAGCAGATCCAGTGATGGTAACCTGACGATCAGTAGATCCTTCCACTGGGTTTGCGATTTTGATCTGCGCCCCAGACATCTGACGGATCTCATTGATTTTGGCGCCCTGACGCCCGATTATGCAGCCAATCAAATCATTTGGAATGGTGAGTTCATGAGAAGTAGTTTGAGCAGATGCATCCAAACCACTGAATCCGGTGTTGCCATGGGTCATGGGAAAATGAGACTGTTGCATTGCCAACTGGTGCAGCTTGGTCAAATCTGGCTGTGGAATGGCATACTGTCCTTGAATGGTATAGGCCTCTAGAGGTGGTCCCTCCAGGTCAGGGTTGAGGCACATGGACGGGGTGGTGTGGGGAAAGCTCGCACTGTCGCTGCCTGTGCTGTACCTGTCCTGACCACCTGCAAAGATGACTGGAGAACTGGAGGGCTTGGGCCGGTACGGGATGGTCACGCCCTTCGGGGGGGACTCCAACATGACCACACAGATCTGTTTGACACACTCAATGATGGATTGCGGAATGCCAGCAATAGTGATTGCCCGCTCAGTTGAGTTGGGGAGCATATCCCCTGCCACCTGGACCTGAGCCCCTGTACTCTCTCTTATTTCCTTGATCTTGCAGCCACCTTTTCCAATAAGAGAGCCACACTGACTAGCAGGAACCACCAGCCGTAAGGTAACCGGGGGTCTACTGGCAGCTGTGCTATTGGTCATAGAACTGCTTATGTCCTCTTCCAGTTTGTCAATGATCATAGCAAAGGCTTTGAAGATGGCATTAGTCGGTCCAGCCAAAGTGATAATTCTCTCAGGACAATTCCCTTCTGAGATGTTGATACGTGCACCACTCTCCTCGCGCATCTTCTTAACAGATTCTCCTTTCTTTCCAATGATACTGCCAACTTCCTTTCCATGCATAAGTAGCCTGATGGTGAGAGTGACATTTAATCCACCTTCAATCACACCGGTGTCCATGTCTAGCAGTTACAGGGAGCTGGACTTTGAGTGGTCAAGTCTTTGGTCACTGGAGGCGCGAGTCGACTGAGGGGAAAAGGGGAGCGGGCGGGAAGGGGAAGGGCGGGAGGCCGGGGGCGGAACAATAGGGGCGGGCGGGAAGGCGAGGGGGGCCCCGCTAGCGGGCGGAGGAGGGGGGGGGGGGGGGGGGGGAGGGGGGGAAGGGCGCCGGGGGGGGGGGGGGCGGGCGGAGGGCGGGCGGGCGGGAGAGGGCGCAGGCTGCGGCTGCTCCGGCTGCTGCCTCTGCTGGTCTGGGCAAATATTATTTTTAAAGGAAAGAAAAGCTACAGCCTTTGATACACAGCCTTTGACCTGTGAAAAAGAATAGAGTCCACAGCAGGTTGATCCTGTAATGTGTTGGCCACTATGTTATTCTTTTCACCAACACAAGCCTGTGTGTGCTTATGAGACCCCCCAAAAAAATCTATGGGGGAGAACCTGCCTATCCAAAACTGTCAAATAAAACATAGAGGTCCTCTATAAAACCTTCCTCAGGACCAGTCACTTTAGTTCAGGCTACGAAACTTAAGAATACACAGTGATTTTTCCTATGGAAGCACAAATTACTAACATGAGGAGTGAGGGACTGCTGTCATGTCTGTAGAGCATTAACTTCAGCATCATGTGTGTGATGTGGTGTAGTATCAAAACTGTTCTGTAGAGAGAACATGATGCTTTTCGGTATAGTCTGTCTAAAACACAGTGTGACATCAATATAATCTATCACAGATATCTCATGTCATATAGACTGCTGAGGATTCAGTCAGCTTCCCAAAGTGCCTGATGGAGGAACTGTGCTCACCATCTCCTTGTTGTCGTGCCCCTTATTGGGACCACTTGCTGGTGGGTGTCAAGGTTCTGAGTAACACTTGTCTATGGTTTTCTCTATATCAAGCTAATTTCTGATGTTTTCTTTTCCCTTGAAATAGTTAGCCAACAGACTCATGCTTCATGGTTCATGCATCCTCTAGAGTTAATTTGGGATTTGCCTCACTAGTGAGTTCACAGCTACAGGAGGTGTCTTTTTCTAAGGAGTGTAGAATGTTGTGTTCAAGTTATCTGTGGCTTTCTTTTGCCTCTCAGTTCTCTCAAGGGTACTGTCTGTGAAGGAAAGGCAATCAGACCCAGAAGCCCTGTTGCTGGGCCACAGGCTAGACAAAATCAGAGCCTATTTGTACATAGCAAACCAGAGTAAAGAAAGAAAACCCACCAGGATTGCCATGGTTGCTGGGGAATAGATGCAATGGTGGCTTACTTGCTGTGCACACTCAGTGCTCCTGCAGCAGCAGCTCTGTCTGAGGGAGCTCTCATCCTGGGCTGTGCTAAATCCTCACGCTAGAGGATTTAGACCTGGAGAAGGAAGGGACATGGACTTGTTGATGGTCTGCCATGTCAACTGCAGAGACTGAATCAGCTCTATTCTGCTGGACAATCTAGCATTAATTTTCAGTTGAGGTCATTCCCTGTATCCCAAGAAAATAGTGTCAGATGCTATGTAGGCCTAGACTTTTTTCAGCTTCAAAAACTACAAGAAACTGAAGTATGAACTACACACTGTGTTGGATGAGAAAACAAACAAATAAACAAAGAAATATCACATTTCTCCAATAGTTTCTTGGGTGGGGTAAGAATATAGTGAGCATGAGATACAGACATCTCAGTCAATAAGTGCTTTCCCTGTATACCTAATGAACAAAAGGTAGACACCTTGGGTCATGGCCAGCTACCCATGTCTGCTTAGCATATGCCCAAGACTGTAAAATGTAGGCTGGCTTGCCAGCACAGGACCACTGGATGGTGGTGGACCAGCATCTTGTTCTTACTCACTGCTTCCCAGTTCCTCCAAGGTAAGCAACTTCCTCCAAAAACAGCGCCCTTTCCATAGCCTGCCTGACTTTGGAACCAAAGCTATAAGCCCAGGCAACTAAAAAATCTCCATAACCAGGAGCCAAAATAAAAGTTTTCCTCCTGTAAAGTGAGTGTTATTTTGAGGAAGATAAGGCTGACTAGTTGAAGGCCAAATGCTTGCTTGTATTATGTCACACTGAGCAATAGTCCATGGAAGGGCTGCACTATATTGTACTTTTTCACTCCTTGACTCATGAACATCTGGGTAGTTTCTCTTTCAGAGCTGCTCTGAGATGTCCCACTGCAACCCTGATGTTCCATAGTTTCTCTGTGGACACCTTCTTCTTGTTCTGGAGTCACTGGGTCAATGAGGACTACAGTCCACCTTTCTGAAGAGTTGTACATGGCTTTTCACAGGGCTACCCAGTTTGACACCATAAGCAATATCTGAAGGTCCTCATTTCTCCAAGTTTCCTTGAGGCTGATTTTCACTCAGATCAAATAGTTTTTAATAACAGCAATTGCAGAGTGCCACAGACAGAACACAGGGTGAGTGCTTTAGACTACCATGAGCCTAAGGGGCTGTCTGGGGCAGTCCTGTTATTGCGCCTCAGCATAGCTATAGGACTTCTTCTGGATGCAGATGCAACATCAAGCAACTCAGCCTCTCAAATAATAATATCCAGGACTAACTCCAAGGCCAAAGTTAACTGAACCAAGATTAGGCAACGCTGAAAAGAAAAAGGCAGGAGGCAATGAGGAAAACAATCCAGAATGCTGAGAAGACACAATGAGCCCCGTGACCTTCCACTGGGCAGTCACTATCACCAAGAGCAGAGAAGGCACATACACACTTACTCGGTGTTTACTGACTGTTGTGCAAATGGATTTGCCCCAGCCGCCTCTTCATCACCTTCATGTACCATTTTCCTTTGGTTTCCCCTAACAGATTTCAATGCACATATATAGTTTTACCTCTACAAATATTTAAAAATCTGACTTTAGAGCAGTTTTTATGTCTGTTCTAGGGAGCTAGGTGGACATGCAGAATGATGGGTTGCTGTATTTGATGATTCATAGATGTCACGTGAGCTGACAGAGTACTTTTCTAATTAACATTGGTCTCTATCACCTTTAGGATATTTTGTAAACAATTGAACATACATATATGCAGAAACACAAATGAGTGCATGCCTGCACACACACACACACACACGAACACACACGAACACATGCAGACACGCTTGTATATATAAGCACCTGTACCATAAACTCCTACACAAGCAGGTACCACTACACATGCACACAACATGGTCAAAATCGTGTTCACCCACATCTGGGGACACAAAAACACACACACACACGCAGAGAGAAAGAGAGAGAGAGAGAGAGAGAGAGAGAGAGAGGAAGACTGCTGTGCTGCAGCACTTTTCCTGCTGAATGAGGAGGTAGTGGGACCTCTATTGTACACAAGGCTCTTAGACTCAGCCAGGATCTGCTCCCTTGGCCTGTACTTCTTTCCTCATCCATGAACGTTTCCCATGAAGAGTCTCACAAATACTACAGGTTAGTTACAACCTCTGCATAGCTAAGCTGGGCTACATGAGAAAAAGTTCCTGCAGTATGAAATATTTTATGTGCCTGGCCCTTTAAATGACCCTACACTCTTCAGTGACAGTTGGCTCTTGGACTTCTGGGAACAGAAGAGGGTCTAAAGTCCAGCAGAAGCTGAGACGGAGGGGAGTAGTGAGAAAGGAAAGGGACAGAGAAGGAGGAGGAGGAGAAGTAGGGTTCTGGAGACAGAAGAGTATGTCAACAAAGAAGAAAGAAGATATTGAGCAGGGCTAGAAAAGAGTAAAGAAGATATTTTGAAGAGTGAAGCTAAGAAACAGTTGAAAATGAAGTGAGCTAGCAGACTGAGAAGACAGTTGGTGACAGTTTATCCAGAAGAACCTGAGCCAGAGTAGATGCTGTTAGGAGACAGACAAAAGAAGAATCCATGAAAAACCCACAAACAACGTAGCTATATAAGTTTATAAAGACAAAGAATTATTAAACAAAAAGCAACACTTTTTTAAACCAAAGAAAAAATTGGCAGCCAATGTGGAAGGAAGAAAAACAAAACAAAATAAAACAACAAAACCAAAAAAAAACCAATTATACATTAAAAGACATTTGGCCACCATTGTGGCTAGCAGAATGGGAGGCTTTATTTCAAGTAGGATAGAGGAACAGAAAAAAAGTGATAGATATTTTGTTTGAAAAAGCTGGCAGGGTGTTTATGGATGCTGTTGTTGAAACACCCCCTGCATCATTTTTAGCAGCATTTTCCTGCTTTTCCTTGTTTTGAGCTAATTTATAAGAACGTTAAACCAAACCTGGGCACTATTGTGGATGCCTGGAAGTGCTTGCTAACAGGAGCCTGATATGGCTATCTCCTGAGAGGCTCTGACAGAGCCTGACAAATACAGAGGCAGATGCTTACAGCAAACCATTGGACTGAGAGCAGGGATTGGGGGTCCCCGATGGAGGAGTTGGAGAAGGGACTGAAGGAGCTGAGGAGGTTTGAAGCCCCATGGGGAGAACAACAGTGTCAATGGGCCAGACCCCTGGAGCTCCTGGGGACTGGATCACCAATCAATGAATACACATGGAGGGACCCACGGCTCTGGAAGTGTAGGTAGCAGAGGATGGCGTTGTTGGACATCAGTTGGAGGAGCAGCCCTTGGGCCTGAGGGAGTTCGATGCCCCAGTGTAGGGGAATGCCATGGTGGAAAGACAGAAGTAGGTGGGTGAGGAAGCACCCTCGTAGAGGCAGGGGGATGGGGGCATGGAATAGGAGTTTCCTGAAGGGGAGCCCTGGAAATGGGAAAACATTTGAAATGTAAATAAAGAAAATATCCAATAATAATTTAAAAAATGAATGTTAAAACTCTGGCTAAGCAACTGGAAAAAATACAGGTCAAAATTGAAAAGCTTGGGAATAAAAAAGAGAACATCAAGTAAAGGAAGAACAAATATGTTAATTTCCAATGACAAATTCAGGAGGGAGTTTTCCCCAGGTAGAAAGAGAAAGGAAATGTGTCAAAGGACAATCAAATCAAAGAAATCAAAAAGAATGGCCAGATGAAACCCTTTTTTTTTTCTTCCAGAACTAGAGTCAAACCCACAGAAGTCCTTGGTCAATAAATCACCAACAGAAATCCCAGCACTTATGTAGTATATGCCTGCCAATGAGGATAATCCACAAGGTTTTGATGAAGTAGGATGGCATTCCATAGAAATGAAGGACCTAAAGCAGTATAAGGAGTATAAAGCAGTATAAGTAAATGATAGTTTATTCTATGCATGTACTCTAGGTGAAACAAGCCCTTAATTGGACTACTCAGAATAGATTTGTTCCCCAAGACTGGAGGGAATTGGTAACAGCTGTATTAGAGGATAGTCCTTAATTGCAATGGTTGTCATGGTGAAGAAAAGCCAGGAATTTGGAACAGCACAATTGAGCAAGAGGAATTAATTTGGTGAGGGACTAATTGATTGGAAAAGGTTATTATGCTGATATGAAAGAACAGGTTCAACTTGAAGATGCAATCATAGAACAATGATTCGTTGAGAGCATGGGACAAAGTTGACAAGCCAGGAAAGAAAGCCACATCATTTACAGAAATCACCCCAGACTCTCGAGAAGCCTTCATTGATTGCTTTTTTACAAAGATTGATCTCAGCAGTAAATAAGATTATCATATCCTGATACAAGTGTTGATAGAGACCCTAGCATTCAAAAATGAATATGTAGAGTGTAAAAAGTGATAAGACCGCTAAAGGCACAGGAAATACCCAGAGATGAATGGATAAAGAGTATGAATGACATTGGTTCAAACATAAACCCTGCTAATATAATTGGTCAAGCTATAGCTAGAGGTCTCCCATGTCAAACTTCCAGTGCTGTAATTGTGGGAAATATGGACATTTGAAACAAAATTGTGAACAAGGCATCTCTAAGGGCTATGGCCTTCCAAAATATAATTGTGAAATCTGGCCTTCTGGAAGGCGCAGATTTCCAGAAGGGTGCAGATGATGTGGCAAGGATTACCATTGGATCAATGAACATAGGTCCAAGAGAGATAGCCAAGGCAATTTCTTGCCATCAGAAAACTATATTGGGGGGGGCTACCTCGATGCTGCACAGCAAAATGCATGAGCAGTTTCCCTCTTGTCAGTCAAGAAATAAACAAATAGAACATACTAAGAAATGCAGATCTAATACTTCTACAAGGAGCATTGTTCTAGACTTGACAATAGATACAATAGATAAACATCTTACACTCTCTATAAAAATTCTAAGTTAAAAATTTTCTACAAAGATTCATTGTACATCTAGGAAATAATAGATTTCAAGATGCCCCTTTAAAATAATGGCCTCTATTAAAAAGGATATATTATTTAACATGTGTTAGTATTGCTCAGCTGTTTATGTTTCCCTATATCAAAGGCAAAGCTGCTCCAGTAGAAATACCTGGAGGGTTTGGAAGTACTGAAAAGTGTTTGTCCTGGTAAACAGTTGTTGACAATCAGAGGCCAAAATTAAAGTTACAAATGAATGACATTGAAATAGGTTTGGTGGCTGCAAAAGTTGATGTAACTATTTCACAAAAATCTTGGGATTCAGAATGGATACTTCAAAAGGTTTATGCCCAGTTTCTAGGAATTGCAAAGTTGTCTCAAATAAAAAAAAAAAAAAAAAAAATGGAGTTCTCAAAGCTTCCGGCCGCCGGCTTGGAAAAGAGTTATGGCTAAACATCATCCAGATTTGATTTTCTGCCGCAAGCAGGCAGGTGTGGCTATCGGAAGACTGTGTGAAAAATGTGATGGCAAATGTGTGATCTGTGATTCCTATGTGCGTCCCTGCACCCTGGTTCGCATCTGTGATGAGTGTAACTATGGATCTTACCAGGGCCGCTGTGTGATCTGTGGAGGTCCCGGAGTCTCTGATGCCTACTATTGTAAAGAGTGCACCATTCAGGAGAAGGATAGAGACGGTTGCCCAAAGATTGTCAATTTGGGGAGCTCTAAGACAGACTTATTCTATGAACGCAAAAAATACGGCTTCAAGAAGAGGTGATGGGTGGGTGGCTCCTTTCCTCCCCCATCAAGCTGCTGCTGCTGCTGCCAGAAAAGACGCCTACTACCACCAGCAGAAAGGGAACGGGGGAGCTGAGTGTCACCAGAGCAGCCTGCTAGTGCTAGTGTCCTGGCCCCCTGCCACTCCTTTCCCTCCCCATGTTCCTGAGGTGGAATCTGGAATCAAGTGCCCATAGAATGCTCTAGCAGCCTGGAGGAGATGTCGCCCGCTTAGTCCTTAGTTTCCTTTTTGTTTTTAGTTGGAAAAGCAAGGCTCTGCTCTCCACACTGATCTTTCTACTCAAAAGCTTCAAAACAAGTCTGTGCAGCCCTGATGATGAAACTGTCATGTCAGAAGTGTGGTCTTGCAGCAGCTATGATGAGGTTATCCTGTGACCCTCAGTGTGGCCAGGTGCCATCAGAACAGTAATGGGACCTGACACCTACCAAGTAGTGCTGGGTTCATGTTATTTTTCTTATAAATTGGAAGTTTCTTTTATTCTAATAAAGTTGATGTGTGTTTCCTGGAAAAAAAAAAAAGAAAAAAAAAATGTGTGAGGGGGCTTAAAAGTATGGGACCAGAAGGTCAAATAGGAAAGTTGAGGCCTTATGTGCCTGATGTAGCCTTAAATTTATGAGGGCAAGATCTATTACAACAGTGAGGAACTCAGATAAATAGCCCCTCAATACCTAACACAATCCCTAAAATAAGGGTTGAGATGGAAGATGCTCCAGTGGAAGGTATTAAAAAATGTTATCCAGAACAACCTCAGATTGTGCAGTTGTCCAAAACCAAGACACAACATGAATTGAGATTCCAAATTTATAAGAGGAGCCACTTCTGAAATTATGACAATGTTCCTACCCTTAAAATGGTTGACCAACAAGCCTGTGGGTAGAGCAGTGGCCCTTAACTCAAGAAGAATTTCTGATATTTGAACAGCTGGTACAAGAGCAGATGGAGGCTCAACATATAGGATACTCTACCAGCCCTGCAATTATGAAAAAGAAATTGGGGAAATGGAGAAGGTTGACAGATTTGAGGGCTGTGAATAGAGTAATCCAACCAATGGGTCCATTGCAACATGTTTACTACTTAAGGCATGGCCTATGATAGTAATTCTTTTTTCACTATACCCTTGGCAAGAGCAGGATAGAGAAAAATTTGCCTTCACAGTGCCTACATGTAATAAATAATTCTCAACCTTGCAAAAAGATATCAATGTGGAAAGTTCTTCAGCAAGAAATGTTAAAACAGTCCAACATTATGTCAATATTTTGCGCTAGAAATAATTTGTAGGCAACTTCTTCAATCCATTATTTACCATTACATGAATGATATTTTGTTGGCTGATTCAGATCAAACAAAAAGAATTTTGCCTTGTTGGGGTATTAAGATTACAAAAATACAAAATTTTGTAATCTTAAGTTACAAAAAATACAAAGATTTTGACCACTACTTGGCTTTAAAATGAATCAACAAAAAATGAACCATAAATGATACAGATCAGAAAAGATCAGTTGCAAGTTCTTCATGATTTTCAAAAATTAATTGGAGATATTAGATATGCCCCACCATTGAAGTAACTTCGCATGAGTTAAGTAATTTGATTCAAACATTACAAGGAGATTCAGACTTTGTCCAAAATAGCCTCAAAATTTAATGAAAAATACCATGTTAACGGTAACAGTTTAAATTTTTTTATTTCACTTAGCAACAAGCCAAGTAAATTATAAGAAAATGTCCTACTTGTTTTTTGTATAATCAAACTGCATTACACATTGTAAGTAACTCTAAGAGTGCAGTGTAATGAAATCTGGCAGATGGATGTGTTTCACATTGCAGAATTTGAAAAATTAAAGTTTGTGCACATACCATTGACATATGCTCAGGATTTCAATGGGCAAATGCTTTGAGCTCTGAAAAGGCTGACTTTGTAATTACACAATGACTGGAAGTAATTGCAATTATGGGGATACCTGTACAAATTAGTAACAGTGTTACCTCATATGTCTCCAGTAAGAATTCTTTGCATATTATAATATAAGCCACAATACAGGTATACCACACAGGCCTACAGGATAAGTTGTTGTAGAAAGATCTAATTGCACCTTAAAAGAAGTGCTTATAAAGCAAAAAAGATTAGAGTTCCCCAGAGATAGTCTAAATAATGTTCTGTTAACTTTAATCTTACTGAATATTAACAAAAATGAACAACGGGTTGAAAGTCACTGGATTATGGAAAAAATGTGGAATTAAATTAACATATAAGCATGTGTTAATATCAGAATGAAAGTCAGTGATATATTGTGCTGGGAACATCGATTTGTTAATATGAACACAGGAAATGAAAAGCTGTTGATACCATGAAGACTAATGAAGCTCAGATCTTCTGAAAACCTCGGACACTGACCCAAACAGAGCAAAGAGAGCCAAACCAATCATGGCATCCTGCCAGCCATCCAGCAAAGCATAGACAAGAAAACATCAGCACCTAACCACTGGCAGGCCTATGGAAAGGCCTCAGTGCCGATCAACAACAGGCTAATGAGCAGTACAATAAGAATCAATATTGTATAAAACATCCTGAAAGCCCAAGAAGCAACCATAAGCAAGAACTTCACAGAGCTGGGGACATGAACTAAGAGACTTCAAAAAGGAACTCCAAAGCACAAGATGTTAGAAGATAATGTGCTCCAGGAAATGAGAAGGTTCATGAAGCAGAACCCAAATTACAAGAAAGAGAAGCATCCCTGTTAGGTCCTTATTTCCCTTGTGGATATGCTCTGGATAGATGGGCAGAAAGGGCACACAAGACACCTGAGAACCTTGGAAAAGACATTGGAATTAGCTACAAAAACTGAGCAATTAGTAGCTAAAACAAATGGGAGTAAATGTAATGTGAAAGATGTTATGTGCCTGGCCCTTTAAATGACCCTACACTTGAAAGTGAGTTGGGCTAGCAGACTGAGAAGACAGTTAGTGACAGCTTATCAAGGAGAAGGTAAACTGAGCCAGAGAAGATGTTGTTAGGAGACAGATAAAAGAATCCACAATAAACACACAAATGAGTAGCTATGTAAGTTTTTTAGAGACAAAGAATTATAAAACAAAATACAGCTTTTTTTTTTTTTGACAAAAAGAACAAGTTCACACAAAGAGGGCTCCAAACAAAGCCTCTAGCAAGCTTCAAGTTGAACGACCACATTACCCTCACTAAACCTACCCTGGCTCCTGCACTGAAGATCTTGGTAGCAACAGAGGAAGACAGTGACTCATGGTCATTACCCAGGAACTTTTCAACACATTACAGTTCATGTGATGTGAAAACAGCCCTGATGTCAGCCAGGAGGCTAATGAATTCACATGCAGGGATTTTACTGAAATGCAGCACTCTGCACAACTCTGAGGGGCAATCTGTCCTGAAACACAACTCTTCACATGTTATAGTCAGCAGCGCAATGTCAGCAGAAGGATGCACAGTAGGACTCCATGCATCCTTAGGGTGAGACAAACCAGGAATTTCCAGGGGCATGCCTCTGTGCAGGTCAAGTAAAGAAGTACACTTTTTAATTTTAGAAAAGCTGTATTGTTTGACTTTTTAACATATTCCAAAACATGTTAATTAAAAAAACAATGAAAATGCATAAAAATCAAGAAAAAGTCACCATGTTCTTCCTCTCTCTGAGCAAATAAAGCTCAGAGGAATTGAGACGAGACAGTAAGCTCCACATGAGAGGGGACAGGGTAGCCAAAGAATACAGACCAGCTTTGTTCACCAACATAGACACATGCATGGACATAGATACATATGCCAAACACACACACACACACACACACACACATACACACCATAGACATCATAAGTGAGCAGAAAGCAATGGGGACATCATGCTGGATGAACAGTTGAATTTAGGTTATACACACTGGATATTTCAAGTGAGACCCATGTGTCTCCAACATTGGGGACAGAAAATCCTAGGGAGCAGAACTTGTCATGATTATGTTGAGGTAGTTGGAGAAATTTTTCTCTTGAAGCCTCAAATCTGTCAAACTAAGCCCCAACCTGTGAGAAGACTTTCCCACATTGCTGGTCCTCTAGTCAGCTCTAGAATGTAAGCCCAGGGAAGAACTCTCCAACAGCACTCACAGAAACGGGACTGACAAGCTGCTACTCAGGCCCTGTTGGTGTGAACCAAGATCTGCAAAGGTTGAGACCATCTTGTGATGCAAGGAACAAGAGGGAGAAAGGCCACATGCCACTGATAAAGGGGACAATGAGAACCACTCATTTCCAGTGGGCGAAACTCTTTGCAGGTTGCTTCCTACCTGTGATCTCACATGACCCCTCTAAAGCAAATGAGCTACAGGCCCCTGACCACATCAATCAAAGCTCTGGGCGTATTGCAGAAATGGCTCCCAAATAGCACTGCTTCTCCCACAATGGCATGTCAGTGTGTGCTATGTGATCAACCTATCTCCCTTAACGAACTGCAGCTTCTAGTAGAGCAGGAAAGTTTGCTTGCTAATCATTCGTTTTCTTGAAAGAGGCGAACTCCGCAGAAAGTCTTGTAAGTGATCACAGAAATGACCAACTGGATGAGACATAGGAGAGCGCCTGGATAAGGTGGACGATGGCTACATGGGCTTGACTGTGCTTCTGGTTACACAGGAGGGCAAACTGCCCTGATGCCTCGTTCATCCTACCTGCTGCTGCTTGGCACATACATTGCTCATACAGCTTCTTGCTAGCCTCCTCTCTGAGGCTTTCTGTCTCCTTACAGGACTCTTGTAGTGCAGTCTGCCCCCTGCAACTTTCCGTTCTCCTTCCTTAGCGTGATCACTTTATGCTTGAGCTGAGTCCACTCACTCACTGGAGAGCTGGCAGTGCTGGAGGCTGAACTGCAGTCAAAACATGGTGAGCCACTGCCAGCTTTGATCTGCCTCTCACTACATCAAGTACTTCTAAGTACTAGACAGCAAAAGGGATCCCCGTACCTCCCAGAGGAGGATGTGGTCCCTACTTGTGCTTATATGTCTATGGTTTTGGAAAACCATAATAAGCTACAGAACAAATTTTTTCTCTGAGAGATAACTTTCTATGTCTCTCATAGAACCCAGATCTTTAAAACCCCTGTCAGGCCCAGAGGCTCAGGGCTGGTTGAAACCCCCACCCCTTAATGCACCCCTTTTTCTTCTAGAGGCTGTGGATTTGGTCAGGACAATGCTTGGAGGGGCTCACAGATGTTTCACACTCAGGAAAACTGAGTTCACGAGGTACAAGTCCAAGAGTCTCAAGGCCAGCCTTTCGATAAGTGGCAGACATTATGGAACCAGAGCCATCACTTTGGTTCAAAAACAAAGAAGGGAAAAAGCATTCTCTGCCAATTGCTGGGGTCCCAGTCATGTAAGTCACTAATAGGATTCATTCTCTTCAATCAGCTCCTCACACTTATTCAAAGTCTCTTATCCCCTGGAGCATTTTCTGCAGGTGGCACATATCTGTGTTTCTTCTCTATGGAGCACCTTGAAT